GACCTCCGCGGACCTCAGGGTGACCTCCGCGGACCTCAGGGTGACCTCCGCGGACCTCAAGGTGACCTCCGCGGACCTCAGGGTGACCTCCGTGGACCTCAAGGCGACCTCCGCGAACCTTCAGGCGACCTCAGAGGACCACCGGATGACAAAGACCTCCCCTCTGGTCTGCGAGGACTTCGAGACACACCCGATAACTTCAGAGGACTACCTGATGGCTTCAGAGGACCTGGTGATAACTTTAGAGGACCAGGCGACAATTTCCGAGGACCAGCTGATAACTTCCGAGGACATCCCGATGACTTTAGGGGACCTGGAGATAATTTCCGGGGCCCGCCTGACGGTTTTAGAGGACCCCTCGATGATTTCCGAGGACCTCGAGGTCCAGAAGATGACATGCGCGGGCCGCGAGATGACTTCCGCGGCCGCCCACCAGGGCTGCGGGGCCTTCCAGATGACTTCAGAGGACCAAGAGATGATCTTAGAGGACCATTTGATGATATGGGTGGTCCACGCGACAATTTCCCTGGCCCCCGCGGAGGCATGGCAAACAACGATTTCATGGGGCCCCGGGATGACTTCATGGGGCCCCGGGATGACTTTATGGGACCCCGCGGCGACTTCATGGGACCCCGCGGAGACTTCATGGGACCACGAGATGACTTCATGGGACCCCGTGATGATTTTATGGGACCTCGTGATGGTTTCATGGGACCCCGAGACGGCTTTAGAGGTCCACGAGATGACTTCAGAGGACCTCGTGATGACTTCAGAGGACCTCGTGATGATTTCAGGGGTCCACGCAACGACTTCATGGGACCTCGCGACGACTTCATGGGACCTCGCGACGATTTTATGGGGCCCCGAGACGGGTTCAGAGGACCCCGTGATGACTTCAGAGGTCCGCCCGGTGACTTCAGAGGCCTACCTGATGACATGCGTGGACTTCCCGATGACTTCAGAGGTCCTGGTGACATGAGAGGCCCTCCTGATGGCTTAAGAGAGCCTTCTGGTGATATGCGTCGTCCTGATGACTTTAGAGGCCTCCCAGATGACTTCAGAGGTCCGCTTGATGGATTTAGAGGGCCTGATGACGACTTCAGAGGTCCGCGCGATTCTTTCAGAGGCCCACCTGGTAGCAGAAGCCCGCCAGGAATGCGAGGTCCAAATATGAGAGACCGCCCCGACATTCGGGATCTCAGAGACGGGAGACCGATTCCGGATATTCGGGATGTTCAGTTAGGAGGCCCACCAGACTTGTAAGTACTTAATGTAAACTCGGTCGTTCTTCAAATCGACTGTGGAGTTATTCTTCTGGATTATGTTTAAATGTATTTTATTTGTATTTTAGGTCTGGACCACGGGACCTTAGAGATCTCAGACGACCTCAATTTGATTTTATGGATCGTGACGGTCCAAGGGGGCGATTGGATGATCTGAGGGGACCCCCACCTTTCGATGATTTTGGACCTGACTTCAGAGGCCCACCGGACGACTTCAGAGGGCCTCCTGACAAACTGGGCGGCCCACCTGGAATGCCTGGTGATCTGCGACGTGCATCAAATGATTTCAGACACCCAGCAGGTGATTTTTTAGCCACTCCACCCGACGCTCAAAGAGGTCCTCGAGATAGATCGGGTGGCGCAGTGAATGAGTTCAGAGGACCTCAGAATGATTTCAATGAAACACAAGATGGCCCTTTTCGCCGTGAAAGAAATATGAGGAGGCCAGGTAGTGACTTAGACTTTACTCAAGATGACTTCGATGACCCTAATCGTGGGAGACCTTCAGGTAATTTCTTTCAAGCCCCCCCTGGGTCTCTTAGCAAAAGTGGACCTGGGGGCAATTTCATGAATGGTCCAGGTGAGAGATTTAATGATCGGTTTGGTGAAGACTTTAGAAAGAGCCGGAGAGATGGACCCAACAATGATTTCAGAAGGGACCGTCAGAATGACTTCAGAGGTGATTCTCAAGATTCTTATATGGACGGAGATTTTGATAACTTCCAGCCTGGTCCCTCAGGTGAAACTGATTTCCAGGAAGACACTAATTGTGATCAAGACGAATTTATCAGTAATCCTGTTGAAGAAACGCAAGATAATGAAGATTTTGAAGATTTTGAGGAGTTTACAGATAATGTTGATCAAACAGAAGAGCCCATTTGTCCTGAAAAATCTCCAGACCATAGAGCCAACTCCAATGCCAAAACTGTACCCAGCCCTGCGCCAAAAATAAATTTTCATAGGGGGGGTCAGAAAGCTAATGAAACCCAGTCTCAAGCCGGTCCAAGTGTTTCCCAAGCTAAGGATTCTAAGGACAATATTCCTTCATCTGAGAGCAGCGCAGCCACACAAGAACAAGAGAATGATGGAGATCCAACATCATCCTCCCTGCCAGTTACTGCTGACAGTTCCAAAGATGATACACAGGATAATTTGGAAGGTAAGGTGAACTCTGCTACTGACACAAAGCTAAATGTTGAATCTGTCGATAACGCTAAACCAACAGTCACAGAAAATCAATCTGACACTGAACTGGGAGCCATATATGATCCAGAAGAAAATGATGAAATTTCTCAGGACAGTTTGAAAGCCACTGATGAATTAAGTATTGCTAGCAACTCTTCAAAAGACACATGCAATGATACTCAGTCTGTTCCGAGTAGCCGTCCCAGTCTTCTGGGAGATGGCCCTCAGGACACACCCACCGCTTCAAACACTACCTCAACATTACACGTATCACCATCCAGGGACAGCCCCAATCGATTTAATTCTGGACAAAAGCAGTGCCAGACACCTTCCAAGGAAGTTTCTGTTGGTTTGCTTGGTGATTCTCCGCGGAAAGGGCAAAGTCTACTTGGACCTGGACCAAGAGAAGGAAATAGCTTACTCGGACCAGGCCCTCGAGATGGATCTAATTTTGGATCTGGCTCAAGAGAGGGAAATAGCTTGCTGGGCTCAGGCCCTAAAGACAGTTTTGGGCCTGGACCAACTTCCAGAGATGGGTCATTTGGACAAAATAACAGAGAACGGTCTCATTTCAGTCCTGGATCAAATTTGAGAGATGAATCTCGATTTGCATCTGGGTCAAATTCCAGAGATGTTTCATTTGGTCCTCGTGCAAGAGGCGGAAGTAGCTTGCTTGGAGATGGTCCTAATGCAGGTGCCGGAGTAAAAGATGGGCCGAGCCTGCTTGGATCAGGCCCCAGAGACGGATCTAATTATGGTCCTGGCTCACGACCTGTTCCACAGGATGGTCCAAGCTTGTTGGGGCGTGGACCTAGAGAAAACCAAAGCTTCCGAGGAAAAAAACCACCAGGTCTCTTAGGATCTAGTCCTCAAGATGGTGGTAGCTTACGTAACTCTGGTCCTCGTGATGGTGGGAGTCTACTTGGCTCTGGACCTCGAGAAGGGGCCAGCTTACTTGGCTCTGGTCCTCGAGAAGGAGGCAGCTTACTTGGCTCTGGTCCTCGAGA